AGATCGCCGCCCTAAAGGACCGGCCAGGGGTGAATTCTGTGACAATGATCTCAGGCCCCGAGAATGGCTTTATGTACGGCCTGCCGGAAGAGTACGACGAGGAGATGACTCGCCACACGAAAGTGTTGGCCGAAGCAGGTGTGAGACTGGTCGACCCCAACCCAGTGTTGGGCGCCACTGACAGACCAGACAAGTTTCACACGAACTTCACGGCTGACAATGTGGCCGCGGTTGTCACATGGTACAAGTCACTCGTCACCGCCACAGTCTTTGACCGTGCGGTGACGGACTTGCGATCAGAATTGGTTGCCAACCGCCGAGAGGTGGTCTTCTTCGAGCACTTCCACCTGGCCAAGCCGGACTCCCGTATTACGGTCCCGCCATTGAAGGACATGCACGTCTGTGCTGACACCGAGCGCGAGGAACCGCCAGACGTTCGGGGGGACGACGAACAGATCGTGTTGAGTGCTCCGCTGTTGGCCGCACATCAGGATCTTCTGTGTGCCGAGCCGGAGGAGCTGACCGACACCGATCGTGTCCTCTTCGACACGACACCTGGAGCCGAAAATGTTGTCCAGAGAACTGAGGACAACTCGGATCCCTCTGTGATGATCACCAAGCTCCAGATCGGCAGTCACGGTGAAGAGGCTGCGACTGATGAAGAGATTGCCTTGGCGAATGCCCTCGGCGTCTACGGTCTCGATCTGGAGATTGGTCGCACCTCTAACGAGGATGCTGAGTCTAGCAAAATCTTCAAAGACATTGAGGAGCTCACTGAAGAAGAACTCAGCAAGCGGCCCCGATTCTACGCGAGGGGATCTGTCGGGATTCAGAATTTGATGAGGGAAATGCAGTTGGAGGAGGCCAAGAAACCACCTGTTCCTCCAAAGGCGCGGCCCGCTGACGCGGAGCCTAAGGCAACTGGTATCTTACCTTTGGCCACGAAGGCTCATGCTGTACCTCCTGCCGTGCCGCAGGCTGCATCCTCATCGTCGGCGTCTGGCACACTCCCGCCTAAGGAAGTTCCTGGGAAGTCTGCATCGTCTGGCGCAAAGCCTACTGAACCGTTGCAGCCACCGCCTCCTAAGAAGATGCCTATCACCGCTGTGAAATCGGCACCTACGCCAAAGGCGGAGCACGCTGCCAGTGACAAGGCAGAGGCGTCACCTCCCGGAAGGGATGGTCAGTTTTGGTTGTCAGGCCCGGACCTGCCGCCCTTCGCGTCTGATCATCGACACCTCAGTCAGGGCCAGCGCTTCAAACTGGGCAAGAAGTGTGCATTCGTCCTTAGAGGCTTCACCAACAAGCCCGAGTACGGCAATAGAACGCCGACAGTGACGATCCGTCGGAACGACCTCTCGATGGACTGGGAAGAGTTCATCGATGCCCTTAGCCGTAGCCAGATCTGGAACGGGCTGAAGGTCTCCCAGATCTTCGAAGTCTTTAAGACTCCAGTCGACGGGAAAGCCCGCTACGAAGTGTACATTCAGAAGCACAATGATCAGGAATTTGACGTGCTTCGAGCTCGGGCTATCCATGGGCATTGGTCGGGGCTCTTCGGTGACGATACCGAACTCGCCGACATCCACTCCGTGGTGCGTTCCTTTGTGCCATGGGACGCCAGTCTAGCGACTCGGCCTAAGATTCATCCGTTCGACATGTACTCCCAGGAGTTTGTCGATTTCCCTTGCAAACTGGGCTACCACGGCACCTTCATGAGGCACTTCCCAGATATCATCAGATACGGATTGTTGCCAGGTGGTGCCGCGCTCCACGAGAGTGGTAGCAGAGCTTTTGTCATGATGTCAAAGCAACCAGAATGGAAAAGGGATGACAATGCGGGCCTTCGCGAGGCGGCGGACGTCGAGTTCGCCATCGATCTCCAAATGGCCGTCTTGGACGGCGTCCGGCTCTTCGAGACTCGCTCCGGGGCACTGGAGACGCCAGATTGGATCAGCAATCGATATCTGGTTTACGCTTATCAGCGGGGCACAGCAGAGCCTGTGTGGGTCAATCCGGCCTACCAGGCGTTCCGTCGGAACATTGACTCCGCTCTAGCGAGCTGGAACAAGGATGGAAGCCACAAGTACATCTTTGGTCCAGATCAATTTGCCTTGGAGCAGCACAACTGTTTTCTCGACTTGTTGGAAACCGCCGAGAATCTCACCATCGCTGAGTGGGCGCCGGTCGCAATCGACTGCAAGACCCCGTTTCGCATTTCGGCGGACATCTTGAGCGAGGTCGGCGAAGAAGTCATCGAGCGAAGGAAGAACGATGACCAGCTCATCGAAACATATGACGGCTCGCTCGGAATCGGCATCCACGTCTGGCCATCCATGGAAGGCAAGCGGATCCGACTTCGCCAGAGGATTGAACCGAGGCACTGGATCAAACAGGAGTTGGTACTCTACCCCGGGTACCATTGCAGCTCGTGCAATCACAAGTACATCGACGGAATGATCTCCTGTCCAGGTTGCCAACGTCGCCTCATCGAGATGACCGACCTTGCGATTATCGCCGAGCCCGACAGACTCCGGCGAAGCGCCGCCCGAGAGGGCAGGCAGGTCAACATCATTGACTTGCAGCCATCCTCGGGGCTCAAGCACGCGCGTGTGAAGATTCAAGGGCCAGAAGAAAGGGAGCGAATCCAAAGCACAGCATCTGGCATCCGCCAGAAGGTCCTCAATCAGCAGAAGAGAGCGGAGAAGCTCCACAACACCACTCCGCAGGGGCAATACAGTGTGGACCCCATCACTGCTCACAACTACGCCAAAATGGGTCTCAGCTTTCACACTGTCGAGGCGCTGCAACGCTTCGCTAACGTGAGGCTTCCTGATCCTCAGGGCAAAGGAAAAGGGCATGGTTCGTCCACCTACTATGATGCCACTGGAAAGGTTGCCCTCCTCTGGGTGACAGGCCAGCTTGAGATCGACCTCCTCACGGAGTGTCTGATTTGTTTTCATGATCGGTTTTACACCATCAATGAGATTGCAGTTCTCATCAAGGCTGTGAAGTCGAACCAGCATGAGTTTTCCATCCTGCAGTACGATGGGGAGAAATACATCGTTGTGCAGAATGAAATCTTGCCGATCATGGCCGAGCTGGCTACTTTCTTCAAGGCACAACTGCCGCTGAGCCGGACAAGGATCGAGAAGACAAATCCTTCTCTTCGCACCCAGAGAGATCTGCAGGTACCCGCTGAGGCACAGGGACTTGGCAAACGTCAGCTCAACGAGTTGCTGGCCAATACCCCTTACTATCGTCGGTACCAGCAGTACTACATGGACAAGCGCATCGGTGAGAGCGGCCACGTGAGGTTGACCACTTCGGCACCCGCGTCCGAACGCCGCCCACCTGAGCCTCCGGCATCTCCTGCACGACGAGGTCGCAGCTCTGACGAGCGTGCATCGGGTACAGCAGAGCGCAATCGCACAAGGTCCCCGATCGCCAGACATCGTCCGACCGAGGTCCACATCCGGACCAACCCTGGAGATGGAGCGGGCTCATCTACCGATCGCACCCCTCGGGAGCCTGCGATGCCGCCGCCCAGGCGTGTGGCACGTGATCCGTCCAGCTACATCAGTGACGCGGATTGGGATGCAATGCGTGCTGGTACAGGCTTCAGCAGTCCAGCACCGGAAACGGTTGCTCCCGATACCACTATGGATGGAACAGTGAGCGAGACACCGTCCTCTGCTGTTGATCTTGGCACAAGGCGCGAATGGTCCGAGACCTACCGCCGGCGACCCCATGATCCACCGACCTTCGGCGTGTTCTTCGAGACGAGAGATGTCTCCGACCGACAGGTCCGGATGCGTGAGACTGTTGTCAACTTCTTTGAGCAGCTCAGGGTCGCAGGATTGTTGTACTCAAACTTCGTATTGGGGAACGATCTTTCCGGCAACATCATCGATCCTTCGCTTGCCAGGCGAATGGACTGGCACCGCGTTGACATGTACCAATGGGCGGTGTTCGCTGCGATGACCGAAGACTACATCCAGCCTACTTCAGTCGTGAATGCCATTCCTACTCATGGCAACCCACATGGCTTCACGATTCTGGACACCTCTCATGCCCAATGGTTCTTGTCAGGATGGGTCCATGAGGTCTACAACTACAGGACCAACCGCCGTGACCGCATCTACTGAGGTCATCTGATCGACGGCCCATTGTGCCGAGCTTGATCACCTCCCTAACGGGATGGTATTCTGAGACATTTAGATGCCGTCTGGTTAGTAGTGAAGTGAGATTTAAGCGTCGGCACCGCCCTAACGGGTTGGTAGCTAACCTTCTCGTACAAACAGCACAGGGCGCAAAACATCGGCCGCATAATTTGCTTTTGTTGCAAGTTGTTTTCGCTGTCACAAAGTGATATGCTCACGACGGTCTAGTGACTAGTCTTTCCTTCCATCGCCTTCGCCTCAACCGTTGCACTAAGATGCGCGGGGGGTGTATTTTGTGGAAGATGTAGCTAGTCACCTGCACCTACTGTCGTTCATTGGCTCAAGAAAATATGCGTCTGCATTCAGGCTGTTCTGCCTGTAAACATAATCATAGAAGCACCAAAAAGCCGAACATGCTATTCGCCTTAAACCATAAAGGCCCCTGAAACCCACCCTTGTAGAAACCCAAGCATGCCCGTATAGAAGCTTTATCAACCCCAAGCCCTAACTTCCGAAACCCTAAACCCTAAACCCCGAAACCCTAATCTTCCGAAACCCTAAATGGGTAATTCTCTAAATTAGGCTCCCGTTTGGGATCCTTCTTACAAGGGTGCCGTACTATATTGGGGACCCAGCAAAGGACCCTAATTTAACTACCCAAATTGTAATCCCTAAGAAAAAGCCCTAGAACGCAAGCTTCAACCCTCGTGGCTTCGGGCTTGTATCATGAACCCTAAACCCTGACCTCTCAACTTTAACCTCTAAGCCCTAAACCCTAAACCTCTAATCCCTAAACATCTCGAAACCCTAAAAGCCCTAATGAAACAATGTAAACAGGCCATGCCTCCGACTGCGTCCGAACTCGAAGATGTCCTCGGCAGGGATGCTGCAGGCCGGGGTGGTGAGGGGCAGTCTCGGCCTACTGTTTAAGGGTTGAGCAGTTAAAGGTTAAAGGTTAAGGATTTCAAAAATTACAGGGCTTCCATTCAAGGGCTTAGGAGGAATGAGTTTCAGAAGCTTCATTTGCATTTATAGTGTGTATTAGACCCTGGGGCGTAGTAAAGGTGCGATTGGCTTCATAATATAGGGGCCTTTATAATTGCCTAATACTATCTTGGGGTTCCTTACTATAAGTATAGTATAATTATGGGCCCCAAGACCCTATTCTAATTATTAAGGCCCCTACATTACTTGTTTTGCCACGGTTCAGAAGAGACTCTTGGGTTGTTGTAGAGGTCCGTGTAACACGCGCAGAACACGGGCTTAGCAACTAGTGTTACTTGGAGGATCATGGGACTTAGTAAAATAGGGGTTATAAGTCCTCTAAGTGGGGTTATCCTAATTATAACCTACTTATAATCTTACTTACTAAGTCCCATGAGCCTTTAAGTAGGGGTTAAGGTTTAGCGGTTATGTTTAGGATTCCAAGAGGGTCTTGCGGATATTCTATCCCATAATTTATAGAGGGTCGAGAAGCGGATACTGCTACGAAGCCAGTAAGGGATCTCCATGGAACCTGGGTAAAGAAGCCCTTGTAGGGACCAAAATGCACAGAATAATCGGCACGAGACCACATGAAGCCCGAAGGGTGAAAATGCCAGGCATGCGGCCCCTAAACCGGCTTATGTCCGAGGCTTCGGGAATGGGTTTCAGCAACGGAAGGTGGTTGCAGGGGTCACTAGAGGAGAACCACGTTATAGGACAGTCTCTAGGGGTGTTTGACGGATCCGGAAAGCAGGCCGGCACAGTCGTGAGTTAGGTACACTACGTCTAGTGGTATCTCTTTGGACACTTCCCACTTGAGGTACTGCGCTAGAAAATTTTGTCTACCCATGAATCATGAACCTTTCAGTAAGGTATGCTTAAACCAACTGACATCCTCATAGTTAAGTTAAAACTCTTGACAAGACTGTACAAAACAATAAAAGCAGCCGTCACAAAGTAGAAAACAACACACACACACACACACACACACACACACACACACACACACACATGCACATGCACGCACGCGCACACGCACGCGCACACACTGACACCAAAGAGGTTGGCATCCAGACCTACGGAGGAGGGCAGCTGCCTCGGCGAAGTTTTGTGCTTGGGGTTATGATGCTGATTGTGATGATGATGGTGGTGGTGACGATATTGATGATGCTGATGGTGAAGATTGCGATGCTGTTGATGATGGTGATGTTCATCATGAATCTGGTGATGGAGTATCACTTGTAGGGTTCGGGGTTCTCGGGGTGGCCTCGGATGCCGCGGTTGGGCTGCAAGGTCTGGAGTCCGTGCCTCTAGACCTACGCTCCCAAGTCAGAGACAGACTCCGACGATTCCTCGAGTACGACGCAGTCCTCAACGCTATCGACCGAGATAGCGAGAACAAGCTCGTTGGATGCAAGCGTTGCCTCACCGTTGATGGTCAGAGTACACACGCTGTCAATGCAACGAGACGAAGACCCTAAACCCTAAGCCCCCAGAACCCCCTGAACCCTAAACCCCTAAACCTTCAACCCTAAACAGCAAGCATCCGAACCTCTCGACCGAGATCCCTCGTCGCTGAAGGCACACCGGAAGACGACTTGCTATAGGGTTTAGGGCCTAGGGTTTCACGGGGTTGAGGGTTTAGGGCTTAGGGTTCAGGGTTTAAGGTCTTGGCCCAAGCCGATCACGAGTCCGGAGAGCTCCGGGCGGGGGAGCGAGAAGGTTGAACTCGACCAAAAATAGTATCGGGGCCTTAATAATTAGAAGAGGGTTCCTTTAAAGGGATCTACAAGGGATACTATAACGGATCTATCTTTTAAGAGTACTATACTTTAGGGGCCTCAAGAATGAGAAGATGGTTTTAAGGCCCAGTACACTATAAGTATAACAAGGATCCACCAAAATAGTGTCGGTGATTGTTTGCCCCTATATTAGCATGCCAGGGTCACCCAGGACAGAGTCAGGTAAATGCTGCAGCTGTATCTCTCGTAAGAGTCAGGGTGCTCAAGCGCCCCCTCCCCCCATCATGGAACCTCGCGGCCGTAAGCCCTTGGACCCTTAAGTGTAGACCCCACTTGAAGTTGTACAGGCGACATCACTGCATAGAGATAGTCGCTGGTATGCTGGTTCACTGACGGATTTGGTTTGTCGTGCTTCGTGGCTCCGAAGCATACTGCTATGTCTTGGTTATCATCTTCATTACGATGAGTACTTGCCAGTTCCTAACCCTAACTATCCAGGTGCCCGAAAGTGGGGTGTTTAGGAACCGAATACCCTTTCCCAATGTGGCAATCAGTACCCTACACCTCCTGGACCCGCGAAGTCAGCCAGAACCTTTCTCCAAGGGTAAAAGGAGGGACCCTTAATAAGGACCCCTAGGTATATACCCCTAATATATCTATTCTATACCCATTCTTTGGCCCATTATAGGGTAGGGGTACCTGTATGAAGGAACCCTAAACCCTAAGCCATTTCAAACCCTAAACCCTATATAAACCATCCCAAACCCTGAACTTAAACCCTAAGCCATCCTAAACCCGAAACCCTAAACCATCCTAAACCCTAAACCTTCCCAAACCCTAAACTTAAACCCTAAACCATCCTAAACCCTAAACTTCAACCCCAAACCATCCGAAACCCCAACCCCAGAACCATCCTAAACCCTAACCCTAAGGCTCAAAATGGCCCAAAAGCCTTACATAGTATGGTCTTTAGGCCCAAAAGCCTTAAAATATGAGTCCTTAGAGCCTTAGGGTAAAGGAACCCCAAAACCATCCTAAACCCTAAACCCTAAACCCTAAACCCTAAAGGAACCATAAGTCTGAAGCTCCCGAGGCTCTGGCATACCTGGTTCGACCGACCGCTGGGCTTCGCCGGAAAGGTGGCCGTACGGTTCATTACCTTTAAAGGGATCTACAAGGGCACCTTTAAGGGATTCCTTTAAGGGATCTATAGGGTTTTAGGGTTTAGGGTTGATGATACAAATCCTGCATCACACTTAATACGGAATATACCATAATTCCCATAGTTTAGGGTCCTTAAGGTAATGCAGGATTTATATCATCAACCGTAGTGACGGAGTGGATAGCATTTGCAGGGTTTGAACTTGGGGTTTAGGGTCGAGACAAATGCAAGATCAAGAGAGAAAGAGCGAAAGGAAGGGCCAGAGAATCAGAGAGAGAGAGAGAGAGAGCCGAGAGAAAAGCCTTCAATCGCAGAAGGCCCAGCCTTAGGGTTTAGGGGTTTAGGGCTTGTTTAGGGGTTCAGGGGTTTAAGGATTCAGGGATTTCGGGTTTAGGGTAACGCCCTAAACCATAAATGCGGCGGCCTGTTTGCTTCAGACCTGCGACCTCTTCTAGGTAGGGAGGCAAGCACATGCAGTGGCAATTGTGACTCCAGCTGCAAAATCCGAAATCCTTACAGACAATGCTAATGATAGTGCTGATGATGAGAGTCATAGTCACAACAAAGAATGAGAATGATGAAAGTTGAAATGGCGATAGTGGTACTCGTAGTAGTAGTTGCCGTCGTAGCAGCAGTAGCAGTAGCAGTAGCAGTAGCAGTAGCAGTAGCAGTAGCAGTAGCAGTAGCAGTCGGAGTCGGAGTCGGAGTCGGAGTCGGAGTCGGAGTCGGAGTCGGAGTAGTAGTAGTAGTAGTAGTAGTAGTAGTAGTAGTAGTTGTAGTAGTAGTAGTAGCAGTAGTTGTAGTAGTAGTAGTAGTAGTAGCAGCAGTAGTAGTAGTAGCAGTAGTAGCAGTAGTAGAAGTAGTATTAGGAGGAGTAGTAGTAGTAATAGTAGTAGTAGTAGTAGCAGTAGCAGTAGTAGTAGTAGTAGTAGTAGCAGTAGTAGTAGTAGTAGTAGTAGTAGTAGTAGTAGTAGTAGTAGTAGTAGTAGTAGTAGTATCTTCTTGTCTACCCACAAGACCATGAGCGCCCTGAAACCATGCAGGTTGTGACTCGCAGCGCTGCGGGTCAGCTGTCAGAGCAACTGGTGCGAGTGCAAGAGCCGGCACCATGGCTTGGATTGCCAAAAATAATAGGGGGGCGAAAAAAATGTTTTGGGGATTCCTCATTACAAGAATAGTATAATGTGCCCCCCAAACCCCATTCTAACTATGAAGGCCCCTATATTGCAGTAATTAGGGCCTAATTAGGGTTTAGAGTTTGGAGGTGGGGGTTGGAAGGGAGATGGATGGGTGGTAGGTTATGCCTTAGGCAGAGGAGGTCGAGGGAACTGCTGGCGCGTAGATTTAGGTGCGAAGCTTGCAAGACCTGACGCGTCAGGATTTCAAAGTTAGGGCGATCCTAACAGCAGGGTCCATCTACACTCCCATTATGGAATTGGGCCCCAACAAACCATCCTATAATCATGGGTTTTGGGGGACCTACTTCCATAACAGCAGCATCTATGGACCCTTTATAAGGTTTATATAGGGACCACCCCATGGACCTCCCGAGCCCAACATGCTCATTGAATCATGAAACTTTTAACTACCTCCTGGGATACCCCAAAGCATGCGAGCTCCTGGCAGGAAGCGCAAATCAAGGAAGCTTAGATCATAAACTGAATCCCGTAAGCCCCTAAATCCTAGACTGTTGAATATGTGATCCCCGCAAAGTATATGGCCCCAGAGGTACAAGGACCGAGTACTGAATACTTAGACAACCGTCAGGACGAAGGCCACGCTGCATACGTAATTGGAGCATAGGCTACAGCTAAATTACTACTACTATTACTGTTACTATCACTATCACTATGCAATTTTTAATTGTAATGTTTGTATTACTTCGAAGGTTAAGGTTGAACGTTTCGGTGTTGAGCGTACGTCTAAAACGCCATCAAAGCCAGGTCATGCTTTGTCTTAATGCTTGGCCCGCCACTTCTAGCAGCAACACCCGACAAAGCCTCAGAGGCCAACCGCATGGGAAGTTCTGCGAAGCAAGGTCCTTTTTTATATAAGAGTGCCGTACAATTTTTGGCGGTGGCCGACGAAGGGACCCTAGTTTAGAGAGCTACCATGTCCCCTAAACCCCGACAAACCGAAGAGTTCTTTTTCCTGTACCCTTTAAGCCTTTGTGTCGAACACAGTTGCTTTAAAACCCATCTTAAACCTCCTGCTTAAACTGACCAAACCTGTATGAACCCGCATCCAAGCCCTCTTTGAAGCTTTCAGGTCAAAGGGTCCAAGTAGTAGTATAGGATATACTTTGGGGGCCCAAATACCTACTAAGTACCTACTATAATGGTACTGGGACCCTTTGGGCAGGTAAAACCTAAACCCTACCCTAAACCCTAAACCCTAAACCCTCTTTGAAGCCCCCAGGTCATGCTCATTCCGAACCTGGCCATCCACCTCCAAAGCGCTGACGAGCGAAAGGTCCAGACCTCCCCAAGGGTGGGACCATGTCGTCCAGCAGGAGTTACCCTTACTTACCTTTGGTTAGTAGGGAGTGGTGCTCCTTTAAAGGGATCTATAGGGTTCCTTAAAGGGATCTATAGGGTTCCTTATGATGGGATCTTTAGGGGTAGTCTTACCTTTAGTTAGTAGGGAATGGAGGCATGAGGTACACTTCTAACTACTGTTACTACCATTTTTCCATTCCCTACTAACCCAAGGTAAGTTTAGGGGTTGTAAGCTTTCTATATTAGGAAATGCCACAAAAGCCTATTCAAGTCAGTACAGCCCCTTTATTGTAGGGTTGAAGACCATATTCAGCGTGAGGAGCTACGAGTTTAGGTCCAGGTTTCAAGTTTTCCAATCTGACTTTTTTCAGGGTTCCGTAATTCATTCGAATAATTCCAAAGTGTGCCCCAAACCTGATTCTAATCGTCACGGCTCCTATATTGGGGCTTCGGAAGTGGGGCGTGCAGGTCATATGGGGGTGTCCGAAAATAGGGGACCCTAATATAGTACCCTAAATAATAGGATCCTTATTATAAGGACCCCCAAATAAGGTACCCCTATTTTTCGGAAACTCCCATATAGGCCGTATGAGCTTCTGCATTCGTGGCTCTCGCAAAGTGCGTGGCGTTTTTCTCAAGGGTCCAGGCTTCAGCGGTTTTGGAGAGGAAAGTTCCCAGTTTTGGGGTTTGGGTTCAGGGTTTAGGGGGTTGTATTCCGAGACCCCTTCCATTAACCTCCAATGCCCACTACTGAGTAGCAGCCAAAACTGTAAACCTGACCTAACCTAAACCGCTACAATTTAGGGTTAGGGGCATTGGCTTCACGTGGTAAAGATACAATCTTGAAGAGTAGTTTGACATTTGACAGTCTCAGGATGCAAGGTTCAGGCTTTAGGGTTGTCTGCGAAAGGCCGATTGCAACGCAGGACGGTAGAACCCTAAACCTCAAGACCCTAACCCGGACAAACTACGAAGGAGCGACACCTAAAGCAAGTGTTGATTGCTTAAGAACCCTTGACCAAAAAACCCTAAACCCTAAGCCCCTGAACCCAAAAACCCCAAAACCTCAAAAAACCCTAAACCCCTAAGCCCTAAACCCTCAAAGAACCCCCCGGGTAGATCCCCCAAGGAGCCCTTATACGGTTGATGATATAAATCCTGCATTACCTTAAGGATCCTAAACTATGGGATTATTGGCACATTCCCTATTATGGGTAATGCAGGGTTTATATCATCAACCCTAAAACCCTAAACCCCTATAGATCCCTGAAAGACCCCATTTAAGGAAGCTGCATAGATCCCTTTTAAGGAACCCTCTAGGACCCGCATTTCGCTGCCGAACCTAGGCTAGCCTTTACACCCCCTGAGCCCTGCGAGCTCCAGAAGGAGGGTTGAGGGTATACAGTAGGGTTAAAATAAGGGTACTATAGGGTTCCTCTAAGGGATACTATAAGGGTACCATAAAGTCCCTTTAACCTTTAAGGGCTCAGTAGGGTTTAGGATTGAGGGGTTTAGGGTTTAGGATGTACGGGTTTAGGATTTGGGGGTTAGTGGTGGTTAAGGTTTGGGGGTTTCGGGTTTAGGATTGCCGGGGGGGGAGGGGGGGTTCAGCCGGAAGGGTGCAGACGACCCCACGCTTCGGTAAATCAAGGGCATTTGGGTTAGTTCCTTTTTGGGGTTCATATATAGAATCCTATGAGGTACTCCCAAAAAGGAGCTACTTTGTGGCCTCTGGGTCGGCAGAGTAGCCAAATTGGCTAGTGTTGGCGAGCGTATATGATCACAGCGTAGTTGGACCTCGGGGGTTTAGGGTTTAGGGTTTAGGGTTTAGGGTTTAGAAATTAGAAACCCTTGAAAGCCAAGGAGACCCTAATTACCTTCCTGAAGAAGCATCACTGGCCAAATCCTCGCCTGAATCCCAAACTCTAGGCCCCTGAAGCTGAAACTCCTGGCCCTTAAGCCCGAAACCCCACCTGACCCCTCAACTACCCTCTAATATACCCCAAATACCCAATCAAGAGCTTAAGGGCTCTATTACAGGGCCTGTGGGGCTAAACCATAGACCCTACACCCTTGTCGTCTAAACCCCTCGCCAAAGCGCCGCCGCTCCTGTCGGCTGAACAAGACCCCTTCTTGCTTAGGCCGAGGTGGCTCATCACAAAAGTTCTTCAAACAGCAGGAAGACTAAAGACCTAGCTACCCAGACCTTCCAAAACCCCTTAATTAAGAAATATACCTTAAATCATATTAAGGATCCTACTATAATTTAAGGGATATTCCTTAATTAAGGGATTTTGGAAGGTCTGGGTATCGGATCTTGGGACCCTAAAAATGGCCAGTGTAGATTTTGGACTTTAGATGTTTGGCTTAGCGGCTTCGTGCTTAGATTCCAGGGCTAAGTTCTAATTGCAGCTGCGAGCCTTGTAGATTCTCTACGCTGTGAGCTCAACCCTAAACTTAGCTTGTTTTTTTCGTTGCGGTTTCGGCATTAGGGACTTCACTTTTGTCCCGGATCGCCTCTTTGCGATGGGGCAGGCGGACATTGGGCTTCTCATGAAGATGCAAGCCCTAAGTCATCCCACACCCTAAGCCCAAACCCTAAACCTTAAACCCAAACCTTTAACCTCAAAACTCAAACCCTAAACCTTAATCCTAAACCCTAGACCCTAAACCCAAACCTTAAACCCTAAAACTCAAACCCTAAACCCTAATCCTAAGCCCTAGACCCTAAACCCCACTCTTAAACCCCAAAACCCAAACCCTAAACCCTAGGCCCTAATCTCAAGCCCTAAGCCCTCAACCCAAATCCTAAACTGGCAGCAGCCCCACATCCAAATCCGCAGTCCCATCAGCCCTGCCTACAGACCCGCAGACTAAACCCAACTCCACAGGTTTGAGATTCGGCTTGGGATTTGGGTTTAGGGTTTACGGTTAGGCTTGGTTGTAAACATCGTGAAGCCGCAGTATTTGGCGGTGGTGGTGGTAGGGGGGTGGTGGTGGTCGTTTCTGTTGCTGCTGCTGCTGCTGCTGCTGCTGCTGCTGCTGCTGCTGCTGCTGCTGCTGCTGGTAGGGGTGGCGGTGCTGTTGCTGTTGCTGTTGCTGCTGCTGCTGCTTCTGTGTTTTGTTGTTGGTGTTGTTTTTGTTGTGGCTGTGGTTGGCGTTGTTCTTGTCGTTGTCGCAGTCGTCGTAGTTGCAGTTGAAGTAGCAGTAGTAGCAGTAGCAGTAGCAGTAGCAGTAGCAGTAGCAGTAGCAGTAGCAGTAGCAGTAGCAGTAGTAGCAGTAGTAGTAGTAGTAGGAGTAGGAGTAGGAGTAGGAGTAGGAGTAGTAGTAGTAGTAGTAGTAGTAGTAGTAGTAGTAGTAGTAGTAGTAGGTGGCAGTGGCAGTGGCAGTGGCAGTAGCATAAGCAGTAAGCAGTGGCAGTAGCATAAGCAGTAAGCAGTAAGCAGTGAGCAGTGAGCAGTGAGCAGTAAGCAGTAGTAGTAATAGTCGTAGTAGTATAATAAGTAATAATAGCAGCAGCAGTAGCATCGGTAGCAGTCGTCGTCGTTGTTGGTGTTGTTGTCGGACGTTTGAACTGCCCTTGGGGCAGATTCGACGTGGTTGTTTCAACAGAAGCTCCCAACCAAACCTCACTGACCAGAAACCCTACTTAAACTGCAAGATCAGATAGCAAGGTTAGGGTTCTTGGTTCAGGATTTCGTGGGGTGCGCGCTCAGGCCCTTAATCCTCAGCTCCAGTTAAGTATCTTTGCAGCTGTGCTCGCGATTCGTCTTCGGCTCAAGTACGAAGTGGGAGCCCATGCTCCAGGGAACCGTTTCCCATGAATCAAGACATTCGAAGGGGACAATCTGACAAACACCACGCCTTGCGCATTGCACACCCGCAAGCATTTCCACGTTGTTTCCCGAAGCCGCACAGTAGTCACAAGGCAATCCAAGCGCAACTTAAACGACCTGCGCCGCAGAATCCAACTCCAGCAGCCAATAATCCAAAGCCCTAAACCCTAAACCCTAAACCCTAAACCCTAAACCCTATACCCTAAACCCTAAACCCTAAACCCTAAAACCCTGCATCATCCCTCCAGTCCCAGAAACTCCTCAACCACAAGTCTGAGCCGCAGCGCCCAAACCCCAGAACCATGCACCGAACCTTTGTGGACCAACGACACGCCCAAACCCTACAGCCTCACATCCTAGACCACTACCTTACAACCCCTATAGATCACAGCGGAAATCCGTGGAAATGCTAAAAGCAAGCCAGTATAAAACTCGATAAGCACATCGTTCAAGCACGATAGCCGGACATGGCTGAGCGCTTGGTTTAGCACCGCCAGCGTGCGGAGAGTTTGCTCAGGCACAGATGAGGAGTTTAGAGTCTTGTGGTCAGGAGTTTGGGTGTTACCCAAAAGGCCCTACGCCCTAAACCCCTTTCTGGGTTGGGTTTGGGGTTATAGGGTTTAGTTTACGCCAAAATCCTACTATAGAACCCTACTACAGGAAGCCGCGCAGCCTCGATCCTTAAAGAGTAATGTATAGGGAGTCCCAGCACTATTTGACCTTAACCCGGTTTCCAACTTTATGGGGTTTACCGTATAGATCCCCTTATGGTAAGCCTTTTAGACCCCTTCAAAGGAACCCGATCCCTAAAATAGCCCAGAGACTCCAATACCCCTTAATTAAGGAATATACCTTAAATCATATTAGGGACCCTACTATAGTTTAAGGTATATTCCTTAATTAAGGGGTATTGGAGTCTCTGGGAGACCCCTTTAAAAGAGCTCTCATCTGCTTAAGCCCTGAACCCGGCGGTTTGGGGTGAGGGAGGCCTTGAGCCCTCCACGAGTCGTCTATTTATAGGATTCTCAGATCCCCAATACCTAACTTTTAAGCTTTTTGGGTTCTTATAGTTTAGTAGGAAGCGGAAAGTTTAACCTTCTATTTCTGTGGTTTTTTGGGCTAGTAAAGAATATGACGGGATTCAGTAGGTAGGGTTATGAATAGAGCAAGTGTGGGTATATTCTATGTATTTATATCTATCATATCTGCTTGGATTTCAAACTATGCTTACTAGGGTTGTACAGACTATTCTTGTCTCCTTGTGAGTATGCCATATGTTTGCATGTATATATATATATATATATATACATACTGCGTGGTAAGCAGCGAGCTTCTCGCTCCTCCGAAACGACCAAGTAGCTCCTTGAAGCCCTTAACCCCAAACCCTAGGATCCCATGCAGTCAAAAAAGAGCCACAAATTAAACAACAAAAATCCTAGTATCCTTTGAGCAAGGTCCGCCTGCCCGGACGGGCATGACCCAAATGATGCGAGGGCGGACGCGTCTCGGTTGCCCAAAGAGCCTTTGCAGTTATGAGGTGTTTTAGGAGAGTGCAATAGGGCCCGAAATGAATGCCAATACTATTTTGAGGGCTCCTTATATAGTTATGGTATAATTGTATAATGGGCCCCAAAATCCCATTTTGGTTACAAAGGCCCCTATCTATCTTACGACTAGAGAAATTTTGCCAGGATTTAGGACGAGAGCCCGAAGCTAGAAAGTAGTAAATTCTGACCTTGTTGTAGAGGGTGATTTACATCAGGATGCGCGGGTGTTTAGATTCCTTTTTGTGCTTTGGGATTTCGGATTTGAGAAGAGGTGTCAAGGGCTTTTTTGGGATGCATAAGCAAAGTATCAGGCAGCGTACCCAGGAAGTCGAATCAGGGTTCCAAGCATCTTTTTTGGGGTTCATGTACCTGCAACAATATACTGTTGATGATATAAATCTTGCATTACCCATAATAAGGAACATACCATAATTCCCATAGTTTAGGATCCTTAAGGTAATGCGGGATTTGTATCATCAACCGTAGTGCCGTGTAGAACTTTCGAAGACCATTGAAACCCTCACGAAGCCCTGTAAGGCCGTTAAGCTACATGTACACCCGCATTTTTCCGTTTCTTTAAGGGTTCTGCAATGGCTTCCAGGCGTTTTACATAAGATGTTGTTGGGGTTTTAGCCGTTTACGGTGGTAAACGTGCTTAACTACTGATCCCATCGAGCTGTCAGCAGAGCTTGCGGGTTGAACATCTCTAAGCTCTGCACTTCTTGTTAAGCAACCGAGGATAACTTAAGGGAAAGCCTTGACAAAGGTTGGAGTCTGACAAGGTTGGGCTGGAGGCACGAGACTTCGATATCCTGCTTTCCAACGCGATCCTATATCGGTATTTTCGAAACCCTAACCCCTGAACCACAAACCCCCAAACGCTAAACGGTAGTCCCGACAAAGAACCCTAAGTCATTGCTTCCTTTTTTTGTCGGGGGAGGTCCCAAGCCCTCAACCTCAAACCTCCTACCACCGAAAATAGCTCCTGCAAACCTTAACCACGCCTTCGACCATCAACCCCTCAGACGTTTTGAGAAAAAGCACTTATACCCGAAAGCAACACCCCGTATAAAATTCCTCTTACGGTTTTTACGAGCCATCTAGGCCACCTACTGAAAACCTCCGAACCCCAAATCTTTAACCCCACTGTACACCCTGAGCCCCAAACCCCTGACCCCCAAGCCCTTAACCTCCTAACAGCACAGCCTAAATCCACGAAAATCTTAAACTCTAAACCCCACACTAAACCCTAATCCCCAAAACCTAAAACCCCTAAACCCTAAAAGCCCTAAATCCCCGCAAACCCTAAACCCTTTAAAACGGAAGTGAAACGGTTGATGATATAAATCCTGCATTACCTTAAGGACCCTCAACAATGGGAATTGTGGTATATTCTTTATTATGGGTAATGCAGGATTTATATCATCAACCGAAGCAAAGACCCTTTGTCTCCGAGGCCTTCCGAAAGCTCGTGCAGCTCTCGCAGCTCCAGCCGCAACTGCGATGCAAGGGGTCCCCTTACTTTGGTTTAGCGTTCCTAGGGTTTAAGAGGGGTTTCAAGATTTAGGGGTTCGCCGTATTTTGGCTTAGGGTTTAGGGTTAAGGGACCATAGGTTTTTAAAGTTTGGATTAATGATTAGAGTGTAGGGTTTACGAGGGTTCGGGCGTCTCGGGGTTCGGGGCTTGATAACAGTATTTTACTCTTTGCCCATGGGGTTTCCCCCAGGTTTGGATGTTGATTCGAATTCGGGTTCCATGGGGCATTGTGACGTCTCTATGAGGGCTGAGGGCTGACAAAGGTCCATAGGAAGTTTCCAAAGGGCTGTGCAGTGCTGTACAAGCGGAATCCGGGTGCAGATTCAACAGCTGAGTTAGACATTACTTTGGAGTTGTTATCCTTTTGCGGTCTCATTGTCTGGGGTTTGAGTGCCTATTCCCTGCGCCTTAAGCCCCAAATCCTAAAACCCTAACCCCAAACAAGCCCCAAGCCCCGAAAGCTCAAAGCCGTTCTAAAGCTGCATTCCAATGCATCTTTGGAAACCCCTTAGAGTCCGAGCACGACCATGAGCGGAAGAAATCGGTTTGCTCCTCTTCTTCGGCCTTCCTGGCGGAATTTTGTTGCCCTGTTGCTACGGTGTTGGTTTTGTTTTTGAGTTCAGGGTTGGCGGCATAGTCGACACCATATCCTTGAATCGATTTCCTGGTACTATAGACACCCACAAGTTTACCAATATTATTCCTTAGGGTTCACTATACTTTAAGGAACCCAAAACCCTATTCTAAGTGTTAAGGGCCTATTCATCAAGGCCCCTTAACCCCTTAGCCCTAAACCCTGAACCCATTCCAGAGGTAGCAGCACCAGTAGCAGCAGCAGCAGTGCCAGTGCCGTGAGTGTGGATGAAGGGCTGATGGCAGCGACCTCGGTGTTTTCGGCGGTTTGGGGTGTAAGGCGTAGGGTTTAGGGACCCTAAACCCTAAACCCTAAACCCTAAACCCTAAACCCTAAACCCTAAACCCTAAACCAAAACCCTAAGCCCTAAACCCTAAAGCTTGGGCCTGTGGTGTGTAGTTCGTAGAGGATCATGGGACTTGGGACCCAAGGTTCCTTCAAGGGGCTCCTTAAAAGGGATCCATAAGGGTTCCTTAAAGAGATCTATAGGGTTCCTTCAAGGGCTCCTTAAAAGGGATCTATAGGGCTTAGGGGCGCCTTCAGAGGGATCCATAAGGGTTCTATAAGAGGGTTTTTTAGGAATACTTAAGGGATCATGGGACTTAGTAACTAGGGTTATAACTAAGGTAGCTATGTTCGTAACTAATGTAACCAAGGGTTTAGGGGGCTTATGGATGTTGAGCAATACAGAAGCCTGCACAATCGTATTCAGTACATATTACGTGTTAACCAGGCTTCTGTATGGGAGTTTCCGAAAATAGGGGACCCTAATATAGTACCCTAAATAGTAGGATCCTTATTTTCAGGACCCCAAAAGAAGGTACCCCTAATTTTCGGAAACTCCCGTATAGAGGCTCAGAACATGGGTTTTATGGTTGAAGTTTTAGGCTCAGCTTGCGGGGAAGATGTTGTGCGGGAAGCTCATGGTAACCCCCCCCCAAAAAAAAAAATTAGCTGTTGCACAACATGGATATGCCGAAAGATCGATACCAGCAGCTAAACCCTAAACCCTAAGTAAACCGCAAAGGAACCAGAGCCCCAATCTCCGTCAACACTCACCGAGACCCTTCGCCCCAGACTCTAATCCCCGAGCCTTTCCACTAAACAAATAAAGCCCCTGGACGCCTCAACCCTCAACCCCTGAATTCCAAGAACATGTACGTAAGTCCTTTCACCCCGCTAAGTATTTGTAAACCCCATGTCCTAAACCCTGTACACCGTTTTAGAATCCCCAAACCTATCAGCCCTGACTCGTACCACGGTTATCGAGCGTTTTGGAATCCTAAAACCCAAGCCTACAACCACAAAACCTTCAAGCATAAACACCTGCAACCTTCAACCCTAAAACCCACCAGCCCTGAACACCATAAACCCTAGGCCTTAGGGTATGCCCTAAAGCCTAAACTCTAAATACTCAGGTTGGTCACCGGCGATCTACTCGGCAGCACCGCACGCTGGAAGAGAAGGCAAATTCTAGGATGCCCAGTAGTACCCTTATTCCCTTTTTGTAGTCCTAGGTTCCTTACAAAGTTATCCAATACCAAAAAGAGGGGCCTTTTTATTCTTATTCTTAGGTTACTGGGTATCCTAGAATTTCTTCAAGGTTCAGGGTGCCGGGTGTGGGGTACTCTGCAGCAGTCCTGAGCAAAAAAACAGCCTTAGTGCCGCACCCTGCGGATCGCAGGGGGTTTTCACCTTTCCTACGGTTTAGGGTTTAGGGTTTAGGGTCTAGGGTTCAGGGCTTACGGGAGTACGGTTTAAGCAGGAGTGTGCGGTCGTGGCGCTTCCACTATGGGGTACGGGACGGACCCCCGGCAGAAGAACTGGAAGCAGTACATTCCCTGAGCCCTCCCGAGACTCCAATATCCCTTAGTTAAGGAATATACCTTAAATCATAGTAGAATCCCAAAGAATGCTCCAATATCCCTGAATTGAGGAATATACCTTAAGCTATAGTAGGATCCCTAATATGATTTAAGGAATATTCCTTAAGACTTCCCTTAATTATGGGAGTATACCTTAAGTTATAGTAGGATCGCAAAAAATGATTTAAGGAATAATCCTTCAGACAGAAGGATCTCTCTAAACCCCTTCAAACCCCGACAACTCCAAAGGGGTAGTTCTCTAAATTTAGGGTCCCTTTTAGCGTCCATTAGGGCTTGCAGTGGGTTCGGCACGATGGAGTTGTCCATTTAAAAAGGGTGGCGCAGTATTTTGGGGTCTTTGCAGTGCGCGCGAAGAGGCGATGTAGACAGGCGTCGCACCAGCGGTCTTTGCTCCGTCCATGTCGGCACCCTTCTCAATCAGCAGGCGCAACACATGGTTACAGTCATGAAAGCCGACATCAAGCTGGCTGGCCGGCCCGCTTATGAACGAGCCCGTCTCTGCGACACGATCGAAGCAGAGCCAGAACCTCCCACAAGGAGGAAAGTCTCGCTGTCTCTCTCACTCTCTCTCACTCTCTCTCACTCTCTCTCACTCTCTCTCTCTCTCTCTCTCTCTCTCTCTCTCTCTCTCTCTCTCTCTCTATATATATATATACACATTGTATACACACACATATATATATATATATATGGGCCTAAGCTGCTGCGAGGGCCCTACATTGTAACTCCAGGTCGTAGTACATGCCTCTGACAGCACGGGTACCAGACAGGAAGACTTCACAGGCCGAATAATTACCCAGAATGCCTAGAGATTCCAACAACCAACATGCCAAGACTTTGCGTCACATATGAAACCCCATACAAATTAAGCAGCAATACTTCTAAATGAAGCTTAAATCCGGATCCTTTAAAAGGCTTTGAAGTCTTTTGGTATTATTCGCACCATTAGGGGCAAAGGCCTTCGATGTGTCCTCAGCCCGTGCTAGAATGGAACGCTTTGTTATGACTCGTACAGCGGCTAAAGGGTTTGTTGTTTATCACGAAACCCTGTTTCAAAGAAACAGAATCTGTACACCGTTACAAGGACGTGTGGGTCTTGAAAGACGACCTAACCCGGAGCCTTAAACCCAACGCGTTCAACGTGTCCTTGTGAACGGCAGCGCCCTAAACCCTAGGGCATAGACCTTAAACCCAAAACCCTGAACCCCAAACCCCAAACCCAAATCTTAAACCCTAAGCCCTAAACACTGAACCCTGAACAGGCCTCCCATTGGCGTATCGTTCGGACTCCGGCCTTTGAGGCTCTGCGCTGACCTATGTAGGGGTTATGAAGCATATGGACTTGGGGGCTGATGTGAATCCCAAAGGGTCCTGTGTACCTGTAGTGCACAACGTAGTGTTTCTATAGGGTAGTATCCCCATAAAACTACATAGGACCATTTGGGAAAGTCTATTTGGCGCATTAGCATAAGGTGTAGGAATGCGAGTTTGGATTTTCAAACAGCGTGGTTCACACGATAGATGGTTAACAAGCATGTTTTTGGTGCATATTTTGCGCTCACGTGCGATTATTGGCGCATGATCCGTGCGGCCGCATGTACCGGAAAGCCGCATTCATGTCACAGTTTAACTTGCTGTTGCAATTCATCGGCCACCATTGACTTCGAAATCTGTCAACCCCGAAAGCATGGGGGAAGGCATGTTGGCCGTGCTAATGATTCCACCAGTCCTTGGCAGAAGCAATTTCCTTTTGCTGTCCATGTCGTCTCTTTAAAGTCTGGGGAGTCTGGGCGTAAGGTCCCACCAGTAAGCCCTCATACCTTGTGTAGGTTGTGAAGCGGGGGTGCACGTGTTGCTGGTGGAAGCTGTGAGGTTTGGTTTCGAGGTTCAGGATAGTTTCTTGCCCTTAGAACCCTTGACCCTAGAGAACTTTTCGCGGCTTAGGGATTTATATATGCAGGCTTTAGAAGATATAGGCGTCATCATGCCGCGCAATTCCCCCTTAGAATTCCTGAAGGCAGTCACAACAAATCATGCAGGTTGCGCACCCAGACCTGCTTCAAGGATCAGGGGAGTCAGTACAGGAGTAGGACGCTCTTACAATCCTCCAGTCAAGGCAGTACGAACTTGCTACCAACTATACTATGCACGAGCCTTATTGCATCCGCAAATCCCAACTGTTGCCCCACCAGACTCTTTTCATATCGTTTGTGTGAGTCACGGAGGTTTGTGTTCTATACCCTAAATCCTAAACCCTGACCCTAAACCATAAAACCCTAAATCCTAAACCCTAAACCCTACAAACAAGTCCGAATGCCCAGCCTGTTGAGGCCTGGGCCAGGGACACCTTTGTGACGCAGGCCAGGGTAAAGCGTCGAGTTTCTGCTTGAGGGAGGCTTAGGGTTTAGGGTTCAGGGGTTTAGGGGTTTAGGGTTTAGGATTGCTTCAAAGGAGGCTTAGATAGGAGTTAATAGTTCAGGTTGGGGGTTCACAGCTTAATCTTAGAGTTGTGAGTTTAGGGCACGCGCAGAGAAGATGATAACTCCCGTTAGATAAGGGCAAGATAACAGTCAACTTATGAACGGAAGTTTAGGTCCCGTCTTCCTTGGCACTGACTTGCAGAACCTGCATGATATTACTGTTCCGTGATGTTTTTGTGGGGCGCACCCTGAAGCTTCAAAGATGCAAAGGAAATCACAAGGATAACGATTTTGCAGCCGTTATGCCGCGCAACATAAAACCCCAAGCCCGGAACCCTAGAACATGAGGGCGAAATCTCTTGAAACTTGCCTCGACAAGCATCCATTTTTGAGCACCGTAAGGGCTATATCATAACGGACAGCTTGGAGGTGCTGGTGCACCTTAAACCTACGTCCTGAGCATAACACAGAAGCCTGAGCTAGTAATGCAATTCCTCCGTGTTTCTTATTGTAGTTGTTAGTTATGATAGAATATACCAACACCCTATTAAAATCAGGTACGCTATCCATGTTTGCCGTCCGCCCGAAGAAGCCGAAACCATCCGGTCTCAAGGCAAGCCGCTTCACGTGCGAAAAGCTGCTTCCCTGGCCTACCGGGCTTTGCCGCAGCGGAGCTCCGCGTACATTGCTACACAGCCTGCGCTGCAGACACCATCAGTACCATGCCTGAAGACGAAGTCCAGGTTCAAATTCGGCGCGAGGCCCCGCCATCCTTGCAACTCGCTTCGTTCGAGCCTTCAACAGGTACCTCGCCCACCTGCAGGCAGAAGACAGCACGATGCCAGGAAGTCTCTCGCAGCTCCAGGAGCCCTAAAATCCCAAACCCCACTAAAATCAGCCTAATAAAATCAGGTCCCTTTACGTTATGACATGAGGCAGTGGGATGGTAATTCAGACCGACTCGACCTGCAGAATTTAGCCGCTGAAACCTCGTTTAATCCAGCTCCTTGCGTGAGGACCCCTGAATGTGGTACCGTTTGGGGCTTAATTAGAGGTTTCGGGTTTTAGGGTGCCGAATATTTTGCACAACTGTTCCCTTTAGTCATTTAGTCCTTCTATACTAGTTACTAGTTTATTCCCGAGAACTCAAGGATAGATTTAGCTTTGAGGCTTCTATGCGGAAGTTTCAGAAAACAGGGAACCCCGCTTTAAAGGAAACCCTGAAAAGGGGATCCTAACCGAACTTCCCTGAAGCTCTCATACCCTAAATCCAAAACCTAAATCCTAAACAACTCACACTGCCGATTGGCCCCCCTGCAAGGCCGATCAGCCGAAGCCGCATTTCGCATCGTCGGAGATTTCAGGCAGGACTGTCAGGTGCTATATTTCAGTTTTCATCTAATACTAAGTGTTATAATACTATACTAGAATTATTCAGCATTCTGGGTTTCCAGCTTTGAAGATCTAGGGTTCATTGTTGAGGAAAGCTATTGCGCCGAGGTTTCGGGTTTAGGGCTCAGGGCCCAGAATAGGGTTTAGGGTACTTGGAGGACCATGGGACTTAGTAAGTACGGTTATAAGTCCCCTAAGTGGGGATATAAGTATTCATAAGTACAGGGCTCGAATCGCCGCGAGGTCGGAATAGAGAGCCCCAGTGCGGAACACCCGCACGTCTGTGCCCCTTGCCTTTTACCTAGCCATTGGCAAGCTGCCGGGTTCTCCGGCGTGGCACCGTAGGCGTCGAGCAAGGCGCTCACGCTACAGAGCCCTACGGGCGGGAGGACAGCGTCTCAGCCTCAAGCAGGCGGGTACGCTCTTCTTCCACCACGCCACCGGAGTGGCGGAACGACACAGCATCTTGAAAAGCTGGGTTATGGGCAGACGCGACAAAAACAAGGACAAAGGCCAATGGGACGACTACCAGCGTGGATCCGCTTTCTCGCTTTGGCGGGGAGCTTATGCCTCGCCTTCAGCGAAATCGAAGGCTGCCTGGAAGCAACATGGATGGAAGTCGTGGGAAGAGACTACCCCCACATTCCCATCCTTCGACTCGGGGTCTTACCCCAGCCATGCCCAGGACGCCGCGACCAAGCCCGACTCCAATGCTGGGGACTATCTCAGTGTGTTTCAGTCAGCCCTCAACACTGCCCGACGGGCAGAGCAGAAGGTGGCGAGAATGGAAGCCGCGAAGCAAAGACTCGACCAACAATGGCAGGCCTACGAAAAGTCTGCCTTGGAGTCCTTTGCGAAAGAGAAAGCTCGCTACAGACAGAAGTTGTTGAAGCTTGCAAGCGACATGAGCGAGGCCGAGGACCAGCAGGAACTCGCACGGCAGGGCCTGAGGGCCATCCACATGGACGAGAATGCCCACGAGACCAGACCAGCAAACCGGGAAGCACATGGGGTGGTCGATGCCGAGACAACAGCCCTTTTTGCAAAACTGGACGATGCCCCGGAACCGGACTGGTCTGGAGTTTTGGAGAGGGCTATGCGAAGCTCGGGGCCTCGGACCCCCGTGAGGGCACCTCAGCACCCACGCACTCCGGAGCTTCGTCAGCCCCGTCCTGCCACCACGGCACCGACGGCACCGATGACAGCTCATTTTGGGAGTCTGTCCACTGGACAGACACCTGCACGGGCGGACCCTTACCAGGCAGCGCCCATGCCTTCTCCGCCGATGACCCATACTACCGGTGCAGGACACCCGCCAGGCTTGAGCCCCCAGATTCCGCGACATCCTGGCCAACGTTCCAAAGAAGATCCCAGAGTTCCGACCTCCACGGCTCCGCCACGGCAAGGCATCAAGGATGCCACCATGCAGGCCAAAGGTTCAGAAGCGAAGCACTCACAGTTGGCGGACAGGCTACAGGAGAAGCGCCAGAAGGCCGCCGCCGAGATGGCAGGCCCCAAGGCACTACGACCCTTTGGGACAGCCCAGCCTCCAGCAGCTGCAACTGCCATACATCCGTCACTGGCTGGCTTCCTCGACGACGACGAGGACGAGAGCGACGAACTTGCACACGAGTTGACCCCAGAGGAAATCGCAAGGCTCACACAAGGCATGCAACAGACGACAGAGCCGAAGGAGTAGCACGTCACACTGGGCTTTGGCCTTTTGGACAAGTGATGCTGAGTAGGCTTAAGTCCTCGGGAGCCTGTGATTACCTCCGCCGGAGCGACAGACTAGGGAGCCCCCGAGCACGGCCCTCCCGCGGCTTCTCGGTTCTGTTCATGTTGCCGCATCCTCCCACGTGACTGCATTGCGGGGCGTTTGCAGTCTGAGGCCTTCTTCCCTATCAGTTCTTTGCCGTGCTCAGGTGGGATACGAGAGTGTTGGGTTTGCACTCCCGATCCTTCCTTAGGCACTGTCTCCTCTGCCGTGAGTGGAGTGCACTGGGCTTGTGCACTCTACCTCTCGGCCCTGCCGGGCCAGCAGAAGCAAGGCGCCTTTTCATTTGGCAGCCATTCTTGCTTAGTGGTGCAGGCATTTGCCTACCTGCCCTTGAGTCCAGCCCTCAATCACCCCAACCTTCCTTTTGGTTTAGGACCCTTCCCCCTAGGTGATTGTCCTGTTGGGATTGGTTGTTGCCTTACTTCCCGTGGGGACCGACAATTTTGCACGTCCTTAGGGATATTGGCGGTTTTGGTCAGGGTGCCTAAAAGTTACATCGGTGGCGCAGGGGTAACTACCAGGACCAGACCGCCCTCCCAAGAGCCTGTCCCTCATACTGCTGCTCTCAGGACAGGACCGACCGGTTGTGTGCAAGATGTTATCTTGCCCTACTTACACTTCCTTTCAGGTGCCCTTCTTCTGTCGTTGATGAGACTCCTGCTGAGACCCTTGCATAGGCTTCGCCGCGCACGGGCTGGGATTGCTATCTCTGGCCTTTTTCCGGTGCTTCCTGGCCAGCCATTGCTCTGCCTCGGTGCCGTTGGAGGTCTCTCACGCAACTGCCTGGATTGGCGTGCCCCACCCGGTAGAACCAGCAGACGAGGCAATGTTCTAGGAACTCGCATTCCAGGACCCAAGGTCGTTTCCTGGTTCTTTCGCTTTCTCCTCTGCTGGAGTCTTCCAGTCTGTGTTTGGAGTGCCCCCAAGGGTCTCCCCGATCTCTTTGCAGGTGCACAAATAGGCCATGAGGTTTCGACTGACAGGCAATATCCGGCACCTCCAGATCCTCTTGCTGAGGCTGCTGGATATCCTACTGAGCCCACCAGAGATGTTGTGCACCCTCTGCTTCGTGCACCCATTGGGCCACCCACTCCTACACCGGTCCGCCTAGAGATGCCAGCACTGCCTCGACAGACCGTGCCGGCTACTGTCAGAGATGTGCTCTGCACAGCCACCGCATTGTGCCCGGGATACTTGCCAGAAACTTTTCAGTTTCCTCTCGGCCTCCCATGCGACATTGAAGATCTTCTTGACGCAGCAGAAAGACATCTTGGAGCATCTAGGCCAGCTTTTTGTGACAGGCTACTGGCCGTGAGACCTCAACCAGTCCCCATGTGTGCCACACTTCTGTTGGTGCCCTCCTGGGTTGCTTTCGCTGCAATCTCGGCAGTCTGTCTCGACTTGCGACAAGTTCAGTCTAATGGGCCGGGGCCTCTCCTTGCGGTGTATGTTACGAGGCCCACATGTCGCGCAGAGCTGCTTCGACAGGCAGGTCTTTATGGGACATACCCCTGCAGGGTATACCTGGGGACAGAAACCCGCCCCCTTGATGAAGACGAGGAAGTCAATCTTTCCAATGGGTGCGTCGTTACCTTTGTGTGCGATGATACTCTGCCTGACTTCTCTACGGACCTTCAGTATCGTCTGCAGCTGCCTCACATGTGGCCCGAAAACCCACCGGGGCTCCCTATCACTGCACGCCGAGCTCTCCTGCTTTTGCACAGCACAGGCAGGTTCCTCTACAGGCCTCAGGCTACAGAGCTTCCTCTGGATGAAGCAGCCGCACGCTTTGTAGGAGTTAACCGGGATACGGTAGAGATCCACACCCCAGCCGATGATGGATGTGACCGACTGTGCCACCAGGGGATAGGGATTAGAGGGGTTCTCGCCTTTGTTGAACCCACCTTGCTTCCCCCAGAAGTCCCTCAATATGTGGTCTTTCTTGACCTTCGTCAAGTAGCCTCTAGCCTCAAATACCTGGTGCTAGGGCAGCCTTTCATCCCTCGTGATGAACTTGCCGGCCTTATCAAGCAAAAACCCCCTCCGGGATGGTTTCTGCGTGTCAAGGGCGGGCGATTGCGTCGTCGCAAACTTGAATTTCGGCATGGGACTACCCTTGTTTTTGGGTACGAATACGCCTTGGATTCGGATCAGCTCTCAGAGCACTTTTCTCCGACTACCGATGACAGTAGTGATGATTCGGATGAGGAAGAGCGCTCCGAAGGACAGGATACCACTACTGCACCCGCTGACTCCGATGGAGAACATCTCTTCCCGGATGACCCACGTTTCCGCCGCTCTGTGTCTAGGTCGCGCAGCCGACATCGGCGGGGGTCTGGGGGTTCAGGACAGGGACAATCTCCTCCAGCTACTTCTGCTGGCCGTCTACCTTGGAGGCCATCACTGCTGGGTCTAGCTGCTGCCTGCATCCTGCCAAGCAGTGGAACTGCAACCTGTGGTCTACCCACTCGGAGTCTTCCGCCTGCTCTTCCGGCTCCCAAGCGATCCTTATATGAGGGTGGCATTTCTCTGTGTTGCCATGTCCTTCTCTGCTCCATCCTTGGCTATGTTGCAGCAACGTGCCTTTGCAAGCACATTGGGCGCCACCCGCGTGGTTGCAAGCTGTTATCTAGCCCAGAATGCAGACACTCAGGCGACAGGCTTAGGCTGCAAAACCTACGCCGTGTGACCCGGGATTTCGGCGACACTTGGCCATTTCCAGAGGACGACGACGACCGAGAGTTTGGTCCTCTTCAACCTGACTCTGCGTCCGAGGTTTCCGATTCAGAGTCAATTGCCTGGGCCACACTACTTGTTTATGCGCCCATGTATGCGCCAGAGTGGCTGACGCTCGCCCTGCGGTTCCCTTCCACGCCGGCAGAAGGGATCCACCTGATCCAAGCAGAGCGCGACCCCAGAAAGGTCAGGATCTTCCCACACCTTGTGCCTGCTTCACCCCAGACTTTCGAGGGTGCCGGGGTCTATCTTGCCCTGCCGTCCTGGCATACGGACAGACGGCTTCTATATGTTGATGCAGTACGATGGGACGGACGACATTTTGCTACATTTGCGCCTGCCTATGTCGACCGTCGTACCGCTCTGCATTTACTTGATGTCCCCGAACACAGTGCGGTGCAGGTCTATCTTGGCCCCGCACACGAGCCTCTTGAAGGGGAAATTGCCCTGCATGTACATCATGGCACCACCTTACTTTTTGTGCCTTCTCCGGCAGTACTACCACGGCCAGTCTTCATTGACTACCTTCTCCAACGCCCGAGCCTTTGGTCGCAGCACTTCGAGCTTCCACCCGATGACCGAGTGGCCTTTTGTGTCGCATGTGAGGACCAGCATCTCCTGCTCACCTATGATGAGGCGCAGCCCTCACTGCACCGTCAACATCTCGCCCGAGCACTTGGCACAGAGGAAAGCCGGTTGGCGTTATACCCGGCCAGACCCCGAGTCTCTGACGCCATACTCTCTGGTGTTCCCTGTCGCACCGTGCTCGCGGCAGCCGTCAAGCATCCCACATTCCATTGGGACCGGGATTGCCATGTCATTCTCGACTGCCGACCCCTCAATGCTGGTTGGTTGGCCTTCCCGGCACAGGGAGGTTTCTTAGACATAGATCGGGTTTTAGCCATGCTGACCACTATAGTCCCTCAGTTCTGGGAGCCCATCATTCCTGAAGTACCACCAGGAGACTTGCTTTTTCAGATCGAGCCGGGCCAGGTTCTTGTGTGCGAGATACAGCCAGCCCCTGCGGCCGCTACTCAAGAAGCTGTGCCTTCCACCACTCAGGCTCCTACTGGAACTATCTCAGAAGCCGCGAGTCCCCAGGGTGCCCAGTTGCCACGACCAGCACAGGATGCAGAAGCTCAGGAGGCAGCTCCAACGACGGCGCGGGACCGAGACGCTCCCGCACATACGAACACGGTGTCCTCGGATAGCTTTGTGGATGCGCCCTTCATGATTCTCGTCCCTGAATACATCCCAGAGATTGTTCGGGTTAGATTTTCGGTCCCACAAGACATGCATGCCGTTCTAGCCAGAGTCTCAGCTGGACGTCTTCCCGATGCTCGCAGGAGATTCCCGAGACTCCTTCCTGTCCATACTCAGACTTCTCCTGCTCGAGGAACTCTCGTTGCTGCTCCAGCTTGGGACCCTGCTGGGGTCATTGTCTGCATTGAATGCCGCCTCGATAACCGTGTCTTTGCGCTGGATTGCCCTCCTCTGGTCCGGCGCCGGGATGTCTTGAGACTCGCAGGCCTAGACGATGACAATGAGGCCTTCGTTTACCACAATGATACCCCGTGGCCCATGCAGCCTGATACACGCATCGCCCTGCAGACGGCGGACTTATTGCTGCTCCTTCCGCCTGCACACGGGGTTGTGATTTCGACCCACCTTCCAGACATGCTGCTCAGCACAGCCGGGTGGGACCCCACTGCGCCCTATCCCGGAGACTTCAGGGACCATTCTTGGATCCTTGCCGATGAGGAGCACTTTGGTTTCATTGTCAGAAGGGGACGTCGACATGTCGTCCGCCAGGATTTGGCGGCAGTGTTACAATGTCCGCCAGCCAGATTGTTGCTTCGACCGGCAGTTCCATCCATCAGCAATCATATGCATTCCGGTTCTGTTTCCAAGGCAGTGCTTGTTGCACATCTCCTAGAGGAAGGTCGGACCTACCACTCTCAGCGGGCCCCCATTGTCATCATTGACCAGCGGCCAATCTTGCTCGGGTTTAGCTGGGTTTGGGTACCTACAGGAAGCCTTGACCCTTCCTCCATTCTCCCCCGATATGCGCAGCGGTGCCCAGTTGGCCATACAATTGGGTGTACTAAGGAAGGTGGCCTTGCTGAGCCATTTTTCAGGCCATTTGAGGTTAGAGACGGAGAAGTTTTGGTGATTGAGTATCT